CCTGAAGTTTTGTTGTTAGTATACAGGAAGTCAATGGATTTTTGCACATCGAATTTGTATCCTGCAACTTGGCTGTATTTTTTTATTGTTTCTAATAGTTTTTTGGTGGAATCCTTAGAGTTTTCTATATACACAATCATGTCATCTGCAAAAAGTGACAGTTTGACTTCCTCCTTACCTATTTGGATGCCTTTTATTTCTTTCTCTTGCCTTATTGCTCTGGCTAGGACTTCCAGCACTATGTTGAATTAGAGTGGTGAGAGTGGACATCCTTGTCTTGTTCTTGATTTTAGAGGAAAAACTTTCAGTTTTTCATCATTGAGTATGATATTAGCTGAGGGTTTCTCATATATGGCCTTTATCATTTTGAGGTACTTTTCTATTTTATTGAGTGTTTTAATCATAAATGGATGTTGTATCTTACCAAATGCTTTTCGGCATCTATTGATAAGATCATATGATTTTTATCCTTTCTTTTGTTAATATGGTGTATTACATTGATTGATTTGGACATCTTGAACCATCCTTGTGCCCCTGGAATGAACCCCACTTGATCATGATGTATTATTTTTTTATGTACTGTTATATTAGATTTGCTAGTATTTTGTTTAGGATATTTGCATCTGTGTCCATCAGAGATATTGGTCTGTAATTTTCTTTTTTGTGTGTGTTATCTTTGCAAGGTTTTGATATCAGGGTTATACTGGCCTCATAGAATGTGTTAGGAAGTATTGCCTCTTCTTCAATTTTTTGGAAGAATTTGAAAAGGATAGGTTTTAAAGCAGTGGGTTGTTTTGTTTTTTTTTTAAATATATTTTATTGATATTTTACAGAGAGGAAGGGAGAGGGATAGAGAGTTAGAAACATCGATGAGAGAGAAACATCGATCAGCTGCCTCCTGCACACTCCCCACTGGGGATGTGCCCGCAACCAAGGTACATGCCCTTGACTGGAATCGAACCTGGGACCCTTGAATCTGCAGGCTGACGCTCTATCCACTGAGCCAAACCGGTTAGGGCTCGGGAGGTTTTTGATGGTTGTTTTAATTTCCTTACTGCTGATCGGTCTATTTATATTTTCCAATTCTTTTCAAGTGCAAAGGTATGTTCGCCAAAAAAAAAAGACCACATGTGAGGCTATAAACCAAGAATCAATAAATTTAAAGTACTGAAATCACATAAAGTATGTCTTTGACCATGATGACATTATGTTAGGCATTGATAACTAACACATCTAAATACCATTCTTCACTAAAAGGAGTGAGGGCTCTTTTGAGAAACATCTCATTCCTGAGTGGGGGCAGGGAAGATACAAAACAAGCCTGGAATATATCCTGCTGTGCTAGACCAGCGATTTTCAACCTTTCTCATCTCAGGCACACAGAAACTAATCACTATAATTCTGCAGCACACCAAAAAAATACATCATAGTTTTGCAATCTGACAAATAAAAAGGTGTAACTTTGATTCATTCACACTGGACGGCTATTGTGTTGGGGTTCTCATTTTTTTAAAAATTGTTATTTGACAACCTCAGGGAAAAGAGGTCAGTGCTCCTGACTCAATAGTCAGGTATTGTATGTTTTAAAAATTCTCACAGCACACCAGTTGAAAATTGCTGTGGTAGATAGAATGTAAGAAATTGCTCAAAATAAATGATGGAGTCATGCCAAAAGGGGGGTTCCCACAAGAACAGATTTGGTACAACCAGAGCATCAAACTAGAATCAGGACAGTGATGAACTATATCCTGTCAAGCAGAACAGAACTCCATGAGTCCAGGTTGATAATATAGGGGTAGATGAAGGAATAAGTAGGAGGGGCTCTTTACAGTGGAATGCTAGACACCAAATGATAACTGTGCAGTTGGTGCTGGAGCAGGGAAATCACTCTTCTAAACCAGCACAGTACAGGCTGTTTAGGCAAGAACCATCCATGGAGATTCAACCTAGGGGAGTTTGATGAGGAATGTGATCTTTACATGATCATAAAGTGTCTTCCCACAGACAGCTTATTAGTCACAAGAAGAAAATCGTAACTATAATTGGAAAAGTCTAAAACATACTTGTCTGGTTGATCAAAATTACTATGCAGATGAGGGACCAATGGACACGGGGAGCCTTTAGATATGACACCTGAGAAGGACACACCCCTTCTGTAATATCTGCCCAGCCTGAATGGAAGCATGAGGAAACGTCACACAAATTCAACTTTTGGAATATTTTATAAAAGAACCAGGCCTGCACTTTTCAAAAAAGCCAACCTCATAAACGACACCGAATGGCTGAGGAACTGCCTGGGATTTAAAAAGACTAAAGAGGCATGCCACTGCATAATGAAACCTGGGACCCAGGGCAGAATCCTGCGCTAAAGAAAAAGGAAGTGCTACCAACAGACAAAACTGGAGCCCCGGCCAGGTGGCTCAGTTAGTTGGAGTGCCGTCCTGTATACCAAAAGGTTGTGAGTTCTACTTCTGGTCAGAGTCATACCTAGGTCGCAAGTTTGATCCCCAGTTGAGGCATGTACAATCAATGTTTCTTCCTTTCTCTCTCTCTCTCTCTCTTTCTCTCTCTCTCTCTCTCTCTCTCTCTTTCTCCCTCCCTCCCTCCCTCCCTCTCCCTCTGTCATAAAGCTCATTTTGATTAAAAAAAAAGCAAAACCTGGAATATGTACTACAGATATAAAATATCAAAACAATGCCAAATTTACCAAATTTGATAACTATGATTATATGAAGGACATCTTTATTTTTAGGAAATATAGTATTAAGGAGTAAAGAGAATGACATATTCAACTTACTGTCAAGTGGTCCAGAAAAAAATCATAAATTTTATAGAGAAAGAGGAGACTAAAACAAACAGTAAAATGTTAAAAGTTAGAAAAATCGGGCAAAGGGTATAAAGAGAATTCTTTGTATTATTCATGCAATGTTTCTGTAAGCTTCAAATTACTTCAAAGTAAAGTGATATATTGACAACACGATAGATAAGGTAATTTAGAGAAAGGGAGAGGCTTCTATCTGCAAATTTTACTTCAATTCCCATAGCTCCCTCTTACCTGTCTTCTTTGATAACATCAACAAAGTGGGCGTCTGTTTTCTCCCGGATGTTCTTGAGTCTCAGTGGGAGGAGAGCAGACTGGTCCAAGCTGACACCTGCCCACCTTCCCTTTTCCTGTAAGATCTCACACAGGGAGGTCTGGCTGTTGGTGAGCTTCTCCTCTTGGGGAGGGCTCAGGAGTCCGTTCTGTGTTTTGGAATTGTGTCCTCCAGAAACCTGCCTCAAGACAGAGGGAAGCAGACACAGAGGTGACCCGTGGGTGTGCAGCATGCTATTCCACCCAACCCCTCTGCTACGCTGGGGTCCCACTGCACTGCACGCTGCACCTTCAAATCTCGGTCCCAATCCAAACTCTCAACCTCGCCACCCACCTGCTTCTCCCTATCCCCCTGATTTGTCAAATCGCAACTCCAGGCGTTCAGGCAACCAGGGAGGTTGAGGCTCTCAGTTTGCTGACCATAGAACCAGGGTTCCAGAGGGCTATGGGGAAAGGTTTGGGAGAAGTGCAAGAGTGGATCCAGAGAAAGAAAACCTATATGGGCTGTAGCTTAGGAAAGGGTGACTGCTTGTCTGCAACACAGGCGGACCTGGTGTCGCACAATCCATGGGCAGATGACATGAGGGTGGAGGGTGACGGAGTAGGTTTCCTGGAGGGCCAGCCTTCCCAGCTATTTAATCTGCTTTCCACTCCAGTCCTGGCTCTGGTTCCAAGTGAGGTTTCTCTGGCAGCTTCCTTGCTGCTGTCCCCAATCCCAAGCCCCTCTCCATGATGTGTCTCTTATCCTGAAGTCCCCTCTTCTCTCTGCAAACCCACAGTCCACCATATGTTGAATCCAACTTCTAGCTCTACAAACCTTCCCTAACTCTAATCCACGTCTTTAAACCCTTATTGCCCATTAGGGATCCCCTTCAGTTCAGCATTAGTTCTCAGGGATTAGTTCTGACTCATTCCTGTTCTTTACTGGTCTGCTCAAAACACAAAAGGACTAGAGGTATGGAATGGGTCACCTAAAAGGAAGTATTCCCAGAACCGAGAAGTTGACAACAGGAGTGTCATCTCAGAAGAATGCACCAGAGAAGAACTGACAGGTATGACAGCCAGGAGCTTGTTACCTTGTTTTTATTTTTATGCTCCTCCTGACAGCCATTTTGCATTGCTCCTTCTTCTGCACCAGCTTCCAATTTGGGAGCAAATGTAATTTTGCACGAAGGGCAGGTCTACAAGAAAAAACAGACCATAGGAACTCACCAAGAAAAGATGACCACAATATATAATTCAAACAGTCCTCTATTGTTGTAATTTGCTATCACATAGAATGGTTGTAACCAAACGGAAGGCTTACTGAACCACACCAGGATGAGTTAAAGACAAACTGGCAAAGTGAAAATGGTACACATCTACACAAGGACCTGCACATGAATGTTCCATAAGAGCCATGAAGTACAAACAACTCAAATGTTCATTAACAGATGAATGGATCAATAAAATGTGGTCTACCCATACAATGGAATATTATTCAGCCATCAAAAGGAATGAGGTATTGTCCTAGAGGTGCTGCTCAGTGGTTGGAGCATTGGCCCTCGCACCAAAGGGCCACAGGTTCGATTCCCAGTCAAGGGCATATACCTGGGATGCAGGTTCAATCCTAGGCACCTGTTGGGGTGCATGTAGAATGCAACCAATCAATGTGTCTCTCTCATATAGTTATTTCTCTCTTCTCCTCCTTCCCTCCCTTCCACTCTCCCTAAAAATCAAATAGAAAAAATATCCTTGGGAAAAAAAATATATCCTTGGGTGAGGATTAAACAACAACAACAAAAAAGGGATGAAGTACTGATTCAGGCTACAACATGATGAACCTTGAAAACATTACACTCAATGAAAGAAGCCAGACACAAAAAGCCACATATTGTATGATTCCATCCATATAAAATGTTCAGAAAAGGCAAATCCACAGAGATGCAAAGGAGATTGGGCATTGACAGGGGGGAGAGGGATAAAGGAATGGGTAGTGATCTAATAGACATGAGGTTTCTTTTAGGAGGTGATGAAAATGTTCTAAACTTGATTGTGGTAATGGTTGTACAACTTTGCAAATATACTAAAAAGCACCAAATTGTACACTTCAAAGGGTAACTTTCTTGGTATGTGAATCATATCTCAATAAAGCTGCTATTGAACAAACAACCTGCCATTATCCTATATGAGGGTACTACGTCGCCAAGGTCTATGAGCTCTATGTGATAGTGAGCTGTTCCTATAAAATAGGCTGAATAATCAGAGGGACCTGTTTATAGACCTAGGATTCTTAAAAGCTTACAGAAATTAGCTGACCTGGAAAAGGAAAGGCAAGACAATCCTGACAGGTAGAGTAGAAAGGGCAGCAAGACTTTCATCTCTCATAAACCAGGGTTCAAATCCCACCTCGAATCCTTATTGTTTTGGATGGCCTTGTTCAAATCACTCACCTCAGTTATCTCATCTATAAAAAGAGTGTGATAACACTATTCTTGAAGATACGTGGTAAGGATTTAATGGATATGTATATAGTTAGCCTAACATCATCTCTGGCTCTCAATAAATTTACTATTATTATTAACTAGTGCATGAAATTTGTACACTTGGTGGGGGGGGGGGGAGCCTCTCAGCCTGGCCTGCATCCTCTTGCAATCCGGGAGCCCTTGGGGGATGTCGGACATCCTAAGCCAGCAGTCGGACATCCTTAGCACTGTTGCGGAGGCAGGAGAGGCTCCCACCACGGCTGCTGTGCTTGCCAGTCGTGAGCCCAGGTTCTGGCTGAGTGGCACTCCCCCTGTGGGAGTGCACTGACCACCAGGGGGCAGCTCCTGCACTGAGCATCTGCCTCCTGGTGGTCAGTGTGCATCATAGCGACTGGTCGTTCTGCTGTTCAGTCAATTTGCATATTAGCCTTTTATTATATAGGATGTGATCCATTAAACTAGGAAGTGTCATTGAGATAGCAACTAACTGTTTCCAGTAGAGGAGACAGACTTAGCAGCAAAGATTTATTAGGACTACAAAAATGTCCTTGCATAGCATTGGAAAACATTGTAGGAGGCTAGATATTATTTCAAAAATTTAAAATAAGTGTCATCACATCTCAAGTTAGAGTTCAGGCCCACACTATATTAAATAAAAGAAACAAAGATGCTAAAGAGGTGTGTAATTTGGGAATCTTATATAATGCACAAGCTAAGTTTGGACATTTGTATTCCTCAAAAAATGAAAATATACATGCCAAAAGAGCTGGCCAAACCATTAACTAACATACCTGAACAAACAGTAGCACCTAGGTAAAACTGCTTATAGCTCTTTAAAAACAGACATTATTAACAGGGGTAAAATGTTCTAATTGTCAATACTTATCAATAAAATTATTTTAAAGCACATCTCGGTATCGTCTGAGTTAAACTTCAAAACATTTTACCAATGGGGCCATTGATCTTCTCATATAACAAAATCCAATCTCCCCCCAACTACCCTCCACCCCCACACACACACACAGTGACCCTCCCAGCCCCCAAGGGAGGAATGAAGTAAATGTGCCCAAGACACATGCAGCATGGTCCTATGGGTGCCTCCTAGTGGGTATTGGAAATAATTGACTTTGGTGGTGGTAGGCTTGCTTCTCTAGGGAAATACCGGCCTTTTCAGGAGCCAAGCAGGCCTGGGGTGGAGTGGATACAACTTGGAGTATGGGAATGGTTTGAGAGAATGAGTCAAACCCTTAAGGTCCAGGGATTCACCAATCTCATAAAGACATGATGAAAGAGTATAAACAGCTACTTCTCTGACCACTGTTTAAACATTAAGACTAGAGAAGTAGTGTAACAGTGATTAAAGGCACTGGCTTTGAAATTAAACTGAATCCTGCTTCATTCACTGAATCCTGCTTCTACCACTTAATAGAGATCCTCTCCAAGTCCCATTTTCCTCCTTGGTAAAAAGGAATTGTATCTACCCTGAAGAATTATTATAAGGGCAAAATGAGTCAATACAAGTAAAGCATGTCAGAGGTATTTTAAATCAGCTTGGTTTTTGTGCACTGACTCTAATCCCATGAGACTGACTTCCTAGAACAGTGAATTGAGGATGATGAGGCCACGTGCTGGCCCAACAGGAGGAGAACTGAGATTGACTTGTGATGTCTGCCATGGGCGAGGGTTGGACAAGTGGAGATGTGCATGCATTTATCACAGCTTGGCTCTGCACAATGCTTGATGTGTTAGTGAGTATTCAATAAATGTTGGTACTTAATATTAAAACTTCTGGTCACTATCCTTTCTGGTTATAAAGACAGTTCGTCTGGTAATTTAATGTCCTTGATCATAAACAGCCATCCTTGGTATCTGCTCTTGCGTAGTCATTTCTTTTTTAGGTATTTCTTGACGTCAGTTGTTTCTAAGTATTTTTCCCTCCTCAAGTACACCTTGCGGGAAGCCGCCCATTATCTTCACTAGCAGAGAGGTGTGGACAAGGAACCCTGAAGGCTGGTGACTTTTGATCCCCGGCAAAGGTCAGGGCTATGCACCCACTGTTTAGTCAATGGTAGCTGAAGCAACTTCCCCACCAGATAGTCATGTAAATCCTTACTGATAAGATAGTCTGTCTGTTACTGGAACTTGCCTGCCTAAGGGCTATGGGTGTATCCCAAACTAAATAAAAGGATGACAAGGCCTGAGCACAAGCTGAGTCCATCCTCTTGGGATGGGCTCTCGCCTGGCCCCCCAATTTCCAAATTATTATTTCTTGTCTCATCTCTTTCATCTTCCAAAGCCCGAACCCTGAACCACGCGGGACGTGGGGAGCATTCACACACCTGATACACTTTAAAACAGGCCATCTTGTTTCTTAGGAATTCCCACAGCACACTAGTGTTACATATATAAGATGTTTTATGCATTTATACAACAGTGACCATCGAACCCGTTGGACAGCAGAGGCCACACGCCCTTCACAAAGGATCCCCTTGATAGGAATCAAGGCCACACAACTCAGATTCTGCACCCTTTCTATGAAGGTCTTGGCTGCAAAGGGATAGGAAGGCTAGTGGAAACTGGGAGTGCCCATGGGGACCAGCTAATCTCCAGGGAGCCTGGAGCAGTGGTCTTCACAGATAGGCAAGTCAAAGTTACATCCCTGTGACAAAGAGAGGATCTGTGGCCTGTACTCTACTGTGATAAAATGTTCTAATACGGAGATAAGGTCTTGTAGAGCTGCCCACAAAAGAACCTCGGGGAGCAAAGACACAGACATACACTGTCAGACCAAATGTTCATAAACGGTCTAGGAGTCTGCACTCAGGGAGGTCTGGGGGCCCGTCGGGGTCATGTGTGAAGCAGTAGAGTAGGACCTGTGACTGGGCTCCGAATGGCCCAAACAGTGCTCACTGCTCACTCTGCCTTCCCACAGCAGCTTTGCCCACAAAGTGGGACTGGGGTTGGGCAGGAGAACCAGTTTTGCACTTGCTTTGAAAATGTTGCTCTTTGTCGTTCTGTTTCTTCTTCCTCTACTTTCCTTTGGGGAAAGGAGGTTTGATTAACACTTTAAAAGAAATGAAACGAAAAATCTTCAAGAAATCCATCTGTCCTGTTGGAGACATTCTCATATCTCAACAGCCCCTTCTGCTCTGTGGGGAGAGCGCCTTCTGCATGAGGAGGGCTCCACCATGAACGGGTATGTGGGGGTGCTTCCCTTCATTGGCAACAGCTGTTTTCCTTTAAGTATTTACAGGTTCATTTTAATCGGGTTAAAGCATCTCACAAACTGCTTTTTTTTTTATTGTAAAAAAATATATTTTATTGATTTTTTACAGAGAGGAAGGGAGAGAGACAGAGAGTTAGAAACATCGATGAGAGAGAAACATCGATCAGCTGCCTCCTGCACATCTCCCACCGGGGATGTGCCCGCAACCCAGGTACATGCCCTTGACCGGAATCGAACCTGGGACCTTTCAGTCCGCAGGCCGACGCCCCATCCACCGAGCCAAACCGGTTTCGGCACAAACTGCTTTTTGCTAAGCACCCAGACACCTCTGCGAAATGTCTGCCAACCCATTAAATGTCCATCTCTCCCCCTTTGCTGCTGCCAGTAACTCCATCCCTGAGAAGCCCTCACAGGGAAGCATTTCAGAGTTGGGAAACTAACTACGAGGGATATCCTGCGCCTTGGGAGGCACATTTGAGCAACTGACTCA